GACTATTGCTTCTTTCAGTGGTTCGGGATACACACCAGTGCGTAAGCAATTATTAATTATTCTTATAAAAATTTTGACAAAGTCATCGCCAGCGTATTTTACATCATTTAAACGAATTCCGTCCGTGCCAGGACCTTTCTTTTTTAGTTTTTCAATTATGTAATTTATTATTGTCTCGCTGGCCGGAGGAATGTGCATTGACTGGGCTGCTGGTTGCTCGACTATTGGCGGGCGCCTCGCTACAAAATTGCAGGTGTGGCGCAGTGCCGAGACTTTCACAGAAAATTGCTCTCCAAATTTTTGCAATATATCCTCTAAAGATAGATTATTCGGCATGTAGCGAACAATATTTTCATCAATTGAGAGTGATACTCGTCCAAGGATTTCATTCAATATTTTCCACGTTCGCGCGGAGTCGCCGGCGCAATCAAACAATAGATTTTTGTAATATTTGCTTTTGGCTTGTTTAATTTTAAAATTTACTAAGTTTCTTATTTTTTTATAGTCTTCTCTGTACATTTGATTTGTTTTATTTCTTTTGCATTTTAAGAAGTATTTATCTCGGATTTCAGTCAAGTTCAGAATTTCTTCTGTTATCCATTCATTACCATTTTTTCTGGATCTTGAATTATTAATATATTTTCTTTCAACATTGGCTTTCTTTATGAGCTGAATTATTTCTGCGATCTGTGATATCGGGTTTTTATCTGGATCTTCTAAGTCGATGTGTTTATTCCAGTCAAAGCAACTAAGCATTTTATATACTTCTGCATTATTTATTTCATCTTTGTAAGTAATTTCATCGTTTTTAATTTTACTAAATAACATTGAGCAGGTCATATAATGATCTGAAACTTTCATTTTGATAACTGATGATAAATTTTGATATTTGTTAAATTTGTGATACACGTGGTCGATCAGAGTGGTGGAGTAATTATTTCCACAAAATTCTTCGCGCGTCGGCGAGAAAATGCACCGTTCTAAACCGAATTCTGCCATTAGGTTTTGGTATTTCTCTATTGTGGTGTCACTCTCGTCCAACAAGTTCAAATTTATATCACCTGTTATGAGAAGGTCGCTTTGATCAGCGTTACAAGAAACATCTGCTTTTATTAAATAATTTTGGAGCTCGTCTAAAAAGTATTTTTTATTGCTGGAAGGTGGCCGGTATAAAGCCAGCAGCAAAATATCATTATTTATTTTTATTTCTAGACTCTCTGCTGTATTAAAATCAGTATTTTGTATTTTTATTTTGAAAGAGTTTCTATAGAAAATCATTATTCCGCCGCCGCGGCCAACTTCACGCGGCTTTGCTACTTGAGAGAAACCTTCGATTTTATACTTATTTAGATCTTCCTCTTTACAATTTATTTCTGTGAGTACAAGAAAATCGATTTTTTTAATATCTTCATTAATTGTACTTAAAAAAGAGTTAAAGTTTGCATTAATTGATCTGATATTCAGATGGGCTATTATGTAATTTACGTATTGGTTTTGCATAAATGATTTTGCAGTAATGTAAAAATTTTCAATTTTTGCAGCATTAGTTAAAACTTGGTCATGATAATTGGCTAGATCAGTCATTTTGAGGTGCTTGCGATGTTTTCATCGGATTTTTATCTATTTTCTGATCGGCCCCTTTGTTCAGTTCAATTTTTGTGATAATGTCAGCAGTTGTTCTGATGCGCATTGCCACGGGAGTTTTCTCGTCTTTGCGAGCAAAGATTTTTCCTCCTTTTGTCCACACAAATTTAACGCCATTCTTGGTGGCTGCTGTGCGCGTATCAAAAAGCAACTGCCTGTTTTTGAAAGTGAGTTGCTCAAATATGCTGATGGATGGCTTTTGCGGGCCGCGCGAGCCAGCGGCGGCGCCGGCCACCGCGCTATAGGGCCTAGCGTAGTTTTTGAACTCCTCGCTTTTTTTCCTATCCAGCCATTTTTGTTTATCCTCAGCATATTTGAATTTGACGACAATTACTTGCGGCTTATTTTTTGTTGTCCGGCCGCGGTAAACTGCCTCAACGTTTTCTGCAGTTTCGGGCACTTTCATGACCTCGGCAATGTCTCTCACAACGGAATGCAAATCTTCGTTGTCTTTCTTTTGTACGCCGAGAATTTCGACATTAAGAGCGAGCTTTTCTTGCTCGAGGTCATTCACTTGCAGCTGCAGTGTAGCAGTTTGCTCTTTCTGGTCTTCGAGAGCCTTGTTTGTTTCATCAATTTTCTTTTCAAGTGTTTTTATTTTTAGGTTTTGATCATTGACAGTTTTTTTGAGCTGATCAAGCTCGTTCAGCACCTCAGCGAATTTGCCATCTACGTGCTTGCTTAAAGTGTCTGAAATCATTTTTTGGTTCATTTTAGCTTGCAGCACGGGCATATATTCGCTGAACACAAATTGACCAGTTGATATGGTGGTGGGCGAGTTGTTGCCTTTATTGCATTTGCTGCATTTCCAGGTGCGCGAGCTGCCTTTACCTGTCTGTGATAACGACACCAACAT